TTTAGTCCTGCTTTAGTTCTGGTTTAGTCCTTCTTCAGTCCTGCTTTAGTCCTGGTTTAGTTCTACTTTAGTCCTGGTTTAGTTCTACTTTAGTCCTGGTCTCTGGCCCATGTCAGTGGTGATGTAGTGGCAGTTTGTTTCATATTCAAACCTTGGAGATGTTTCAGCAGTTTGGGGCTGTGTTTCAGTCCTTATATGTGCTCAAACTTCACATCTCGCTTTGTTGAAGAACATCAGAGGAGCCAGGTTTAATGAAGGAAACATCAGATCTGCAGATTTAACTGCTCATAGTTAATATGAAGCTATGTCATTAATATTCTATTGTAATTTGAACGCAGCCTTTTCTTCTCTTATAGGAACTGGCTGGAAGATTTTGACTTTATACTTCATAAACATAAGACCTGTGTGTGTCCAGAGATGAGGCAAACCTGTTCAGATCAAATACAAATGATTTATGGTGCGTTTAACTATCTGACTCGGAGGTCCAACGGCATTGCCTAGTGATATGCACCGACACACCTCCTTTCCTCGGATGGTGGAACTCGGAAGAACTCAGAGAAGACCAAGCAAGGATTCCAAGACAGAATCTAAGGTGTCTGTGCCCAGTGTCACATGTTTAGTATGAAGTGTTTTCATTGTGTTAGGAGCTTTGGTGATTTAAATGACAATTTCAGTCATTCAAATTACTGCAGTACCTTACGGTGTTGTGGTCGGTGTTGTGGCGGTCGGTGTTGTTTTAAGTGGGTGGTGCTAAATGTCCCTTAAGTCGATAACAAAAGATAAACAACAACAGTAAGAGTTTTCTGGGCGGCATCCACATTTTTCTCCAAGTCGGACACGCAAAACTGGACCAGGACGACCAGCGTGTTAGCTATGTCCTTTCATATATTCTGTCTATGTGTGAAACATAATGAAACACTTGAAGCGAGGACATGTTGTCATATCACAGATCCAAGTGGGGGACAGATGGATAATCGAACACACCATTAGTCTTCAAAAACAGTTGGCATTAGTGCTGTAGTCAAGACGGCACTTAACAAGACCAAGACCAGTTTGAGACCACAAGGTCCCAAGACCAGGACAAGACCGAGACCTTTGAGGGTTGAGACCGAGACAAGACTAAGACTTTTAAAGACCAAGACCAAGACAAGACCGAGACCCATCAAGACAAAATCAAATCCATCTTTGTCATTTCCTACATTTATTTGTATTTTACAGTTATTTTGGCACATTTATATCAATGTTTTTTTATAAATCTATCACCATTCTATTTGATTAATGTTCATTTAAGCTTAAAATAAGCCAAGCAAACTGTGCTGCACTGAAACACTCTGCACCTCTTTTTTGGACCCTCACCCACAGTTTGAGAACCTCTTCTTCAATCCCACTTCCACTGGAACTTTACACAAAACAACTTCAAAGTTTCAAACTAGTTTTTTTCAAGTTCATAACATTTACAGTGACATTCTCTTACTGGTTTTGCAGTGATATTTAGCCTCTGCACATTTACCAGCCATAATGAAATATGATCACAGTCATTGAGTGTCAGACCTTGAGTCCGAGACAAGACCAAGTCCAGGCGTCATCAAGACCGAGACAAGACCAAGATCAAATGCCTTCAAGACCAAGACCAAATGTGCTCGAATCCGAGACGAGATGAAGATCGTAAAAAAGCAGTTTCGAGGTCTTTCGAGGTCGAGTCTAAAGACAAAGACCGATCTGGAGTACTGTGACACTAATGATCATGATGTCACATTTATTTATTTCCTAATTCTGTGTTTTGGTTCAAGATGATTATCCACTCAGGAACAGAATGAGGTGGACAGTTTGCTGAAATGCTAAAATGTTGAAAGATTTTTGGTTTAAAACTAAAATGCCTCTCTCTGATCTGAATGGTCAGTCCCTAAACCCCAGTCCTCCAGCCAATCCTGACTCAGTGCTAGTGCAGCTTCTGCAGCTCAAGGAGGGCTTACTGGAGGTTCTGAGCTTCACGTGAGACATGTTCTGTCCATAAACTGATGTGTGTACGTGAGCTCGATGTGCAGAGGTGAAGAGGGGGAATTCTGATGCAGCCCTTTCCCAGTTTACCTCCTGCCTCACCAACAGACACCAGTTCATCCACATCAACCACTGCAAGTCCCCATCACCCACTCACTCAAGGAGCTCCCCAAGGTTCAGTTCTCAGCCTTCTCCTCTTCATACTCTACTTCCTCCCCCTCGGTCCCATTATCTGCTCACCATTGTTTTTGTATTTACGGAGACTTGTCGTGTGGCAGCATGGGTGACATGGGCTTGAGGGCAGAGCCTTGCACAGACTTCTACTGCTAACCATAATGAGGGTTTGAATGGGGCCCAGGAGAGATCACTAGATTACTCAAACATGAATGGATGACAGCTAAAACCTCTTCAGACGTGTTTTTGAGAGGAGACAGTGGTAGAACATGGAGGAAAGCTCCAAAAAGTTGGTTTTAAGGCTGTGTCAACCCAGGTCCAGTTGTGATTGTAGAAGCTTTTGAAACAGTGAGCGGCAGGACACACTCAGCGCCTTTAACACTTCGAATGAGTTTGTGAATGAGCGACGTTTTGTCTCCTGGTTCTAGTTTTGATCACAGACAAACATGAGCCCAAACACATGAGTGAAATGTTGTGAAACTTTCAACTCATTTGTGCAATTATTGAGAAAGACGAACAGCTGAAAGGGCTCACAGCTGAGAACACAAACACCAGGCCAAGAATCACACTTTCACTTACCTCCAACACTCCACACCACTTAGTCCTGGTTTAGACCTGGTTTAGTCCTGGTTTAGACCTGTGTTAGTCCTGGTTTAGTCCTGGGTTTAGACCTGTGTTAGTCCTGGTTTAGTTCTGGTTTAGACCTATGTTAGTCCTGGTTTAGATCTGGTTTAGTCCTGGTTTAGTCTTGGTTTAGACCCATATTAGTCCTGATTTAGACCTGGTTTAGAACTGGTTTACACCTGGCTTAGATAGTAAAATCTTTTTTTTATTTATTTATTTTTCTTTAAAATATTTAATTTGAAACAGAATTCCTCACGAGTTGCTCCAGGTTCCAAGTCCAAAAGTCAGATTTAAAGATAAGAATCATAAAGTTTTATTGCAGATCATAAACCTAAAGCTTTTCAGGAACAGTAATGAAATAAGGACTAAACCTGGATTAAACCAGGACTAAACCAGGACTAAACAAAGTCTGAACCCAGATTAAACCAAGACTAAAGCCATGTTGAAACTAAGGGGGAAAAAAGAACTAAACTCTGTTATAAACCAGGAGCAAACAAGATCTAAATCAGGACTAAGTGTAACTGAAACTCAGTGTAAATCTTTAGTTCCCCCATTGTCCCTCTGATAATGGACTGGACACCTGCATGGTCTCTGTGCCCCTGCAATAATGGACTGAATACCTACATAGTCTCATTATTCTTGTGATAATGGACTGGGCACCTGCATGGTCCCTATGTCCCTGTGATAATGGACTGGGCACCTGCATGGTTTGTTTTCCTTTGAAGTTCAGGTGAGAGACATTTTCATCACTTAGAAAAGCACACGCAGAGTTCCAACCTTCAGGAAGCTGGATCTGTTCCAGCTCAAATTTGAATGTGTCATTCACCGCGTGGTCACTGGGACAAGTGCAAGACATGTATTTTAGGTTTTAGCCCTGATTCCAAAGCCAAAAATAATATTACTCAACTCCAAGTACAAAGAAGTGACCTAAAAATAAGGAAAGTGTAAAAAGTATTGGAGGAAAGCACAGGAAATGTACAGAATGTGATGTTTTCAAAGGACAAATGAGACAAACTAAATCAAACGTGAAGGAGCTGCAAGAAACACAAATGTTCAAATCATTTCAGATTGTCACATAAAGATTTTGTCACTTTAGACTCACTCACAGAGGAAGCACAACTTTTACTCAAGTACGAGTACTGTTACACTGTCTCATATATTACTCGAGTAAGAGTACTGTTAATATTATTTAAGTAGGAGTAAAAGTATGGAGTCTGAAAATTACTCTGAGAAGAACAATTTTATCCAAAAGTTACTCGAGTAAATGTGAATAAGCAGCGTTTAACATAATGCCAACTGTATGAGATTAAACTGAACAATCTCAATAAAGTTTACTCTTTTATTTCAATATTTTTAAATGTATATATTTACTGAAAGTGTAAAGAGTGATTTTTTGTTGCATCTGTTTTATGTTTGTGCAGTTGTCAGATGATGGAGCTGAAAGACAAACTGAGATTAGACTTAAACATGGAAATAATTTAAAGTCGTGCTCTGGTCTGCTTTATGAGCCATAAACAGCAGGACTACAGTGGGTCTCAAACTGCGGTGCGCGGGCCCCTGGAAGCGTCTGTGGCACATGTCACCAGAGTGAAAATTGGACCATGTCCTGATCTGTGTTTAGTGTCACTGTTTGATCAAAACAGTGAAGCTGTGTCCTGCGGCCCTCAGGTCTATGTGTGTGTGTGTGTGTGTGTGTGTGTGTGTGTGTGTGCGTGTGTGCGTGTGTGTGTGCGTGTGTGTGTGTGTGTGTGTGTGTGCGTGTGCGTGTGTGTGTGTGTGCGTGTGCGTGTGCGTGTGTGTGTGTGTGTGCGTGTGCGTGTGTGCGGGTGTGCGTGCGCGTGTGTGTGTGTGCGTGTGTGTGTGTGTGCGTGTGTGTTGTGTGTGTGTGTGTGCGCGTGTGCGTGCGTGTGTGCGTGTGTGCGTGTGTGCGTGTGTGCGTGTGTGCGTGTGTGTGTGTGTGCGGGTGTGCGTGTGTGTGCGTGTGTGCAACTTGGCCCCTCACTCTGTGTGTTATTCAGGATGGTACACATGTTTATTATATTATACACATAGATGATAAGATATATAACATATATATGATGACATATATATGATGACATATATATGATGACATATATATGATGACATATATATGATGACATATATGACCCATATGTGTTATATAGATGACATGTGTAGTGTACAGTGTGTGTACAGCGTCTCACCTCGTCCTTCGCTCTGTATGTTGCTCAGGATGTTGGAGTAGTTGATGGGGGTCTTGTTCTCCTCAAACACCAGTTCTTCTAGAGTGACATTGACCCCCTGCAGTTCCGTGTACAGCCCCTCGATGGCAAAGTAGCACGGCCGGTCGTCCACTTTGTTGTCGCTGAACACGAGCATGACGTGCTCTCTCCAGCCGAAGTGCTCGCAGAGGCGCAGGGCGAAGCGCCCCAGCTTCTTGTGGGTGGGGCCGGTGTTAGTGATGGACGGGTACACGCCGCCGAAGAACGCTACGGCGGGCGCACCCGCGGTTACCATGGGAACGTCCCAGTGCCCGGCGAACAGCCCCACGGGCGACGCGGCGTAGGAGCAGCCGGGCCCGATGAAGGCCCACGGGTCATAGTCCAACTTCAGGTCCACCGCCATCAGCGGTGCCATGGACTCAGAGCAGATCCCGTGTTTGTCCTGACTTGACTTGAACACGTACGTGAGCAGGTGACCCGGAAGCAGCTGGGGGTCAGAGTTCACCGTGCGCACTGCCCGGTCAATGGCGCTGCCGATACGAGGCCACGCCCACGGGTACTTGGTGTTACTGTGCGGCAGGATGACGGCCAGCGTGATGTTGGGTTTGTTGGTCGGGCTCTGGGGGTGCGGGTGGGGGTGAGGGTCCGGCGGGTGGTTGCGGGTTAGACGCCGCAGTTTGCGACATTGAGTGGAAGCGACAAGGAGGAGCAGGAGCAGACAGAGGGAGGGGCCTCGCGGGGGGCCCATGGTCTCAGAGACATCAATTATTCAAGAGCCTGAGGAAAGACAAGGAGAAATGTCACAGCAACAACATGGACTTAAACAGGACTAGACCAGGACTAAACCAGGACTAAACCAGGATTAAAGCAGGACTAAACCAGGACTAAACCAGGACTAAACCAGAACTCTTTGTGTTGGTCACATCATGCTTCAGTAACTCTCTCTCATTATTGCAGCTCCGGGCTCCTATTGGTCAGCCTCTGAGTGAGTGACAGGTGAATTTAACCAATCACAGACAAGAGTGATCTCTCAGAAGCAGAGGATGACTTGAGATTATAGAGAGGGTATTATGCCATTTTTTTTCTCCCATGTTCTAACAAAGCTAATAAAAACAGGCCTGGAGAGGTTTGAGAGGTCGTCCATGCATGTGAGTATTTTAGCAAACTCTCTATTTAAACCCTCCTTATGGTTCGCAGTACAATTCTGTGGAAGGCTCCACCCTCAAGCCTACATCCCCCATGCTCCCACAAAACAATCCTCCATAAATACACAAAAACATGACACAAAACTGTACACAGCCTCATGACAAACCTGATGTGATGTGCAGTACCACAACTGCCCCAAAACAATCAATTATGTTGTGGTAGTGCTCTGAAGGGGGAGTGATTCAGCACAGGGAGCAAAGGGAGGGGGACTCGGAGCATTGAAAACAAAATTCAAACCTATCAAACGTATGTGATGTGTTAGAATAAACGTCACATACCTGCTCTTTAAACGGGAAATAGAAATAGGAGTCTACATGAGTCGTGATCAAAGTGAAATCGTCTTCTGACTTTGAGAAAACCCAGATCATATGTTGATACTTTTGTGGCACCTCCACTTATAGAGACTTTGCACCGTCACGTGACCCCTATAGCAACCTATTGGTTGTTCTAGACGCTCTCAAAGGGATAAAATGAATCGATTCTTCACTGTTCTTCTGGAAATGACTCATCAGGATCAAACAAGGGAATTATCGTGAAAAAAACGGGAATTATGTCTAGAGAACATAAACCGCGAAGAGATTTCCAATGGTACCATCAAGACACACTCACGTCACTTTCATCACAGTATTTGTTATTTAAATTGTTTCATAGTTTAATGAGAGAAGCACATTTACTAAACTAAAATGTAAAAAGAAAACATTTGCAGTGTGAGTGGCAGTAGAAACTGTATCTTCCAGTGCACATATAAACATGTCACTCGTCGTAGGACCCATGTTTTCTTTATTGTCTTGTTTATCCACAACTATGTCTTCTAGAATGAATCACTTTTTGCGAGTGGATCTTTCTAATGTTCGCGAGGATCTTTTAATGGTCGATTCTTTCGAGGTTCGGCTCACAGACTCTTCGACTCGTGCGCCATGTTGATCACAGGAGCCCAGTGTGGGTTCGTTGAATATAAACTAGTGCGGGTTTTCCTGGATAAATTAATGAAATTTTAGTTCAGTAAATGTGCTTCTTTCATTAAATAAGCTATGAAACAATTTAAATAGCAAATACCTTGATGAAACTTTGGGTGTCTTGATGGTACAATTGGAAATCTCTTCGTGGTTTATTTTTTCTAGCTATAATCCGCATCTTTTTTTCAATAATTCCCTTGTTTGAGCTCCTGATAAGTCATTTCCAGAGGAACAGTGAAGTAACGAATGGTTTTATCCTGTTCAGAGCGTCTAGAACAACCCAATACACAACAAAACCTGCCCATGTTTCTCCGATGCTGCTGTAGTCAATGACATAGTGTGTCCGGTGTCATGGCGGTTGCTACAGGGGTCATGTGACAATGCAAAGCCTCTATAAGCTATTCAAACATTAGGAGAAATAAAGCTCCTACATTACACTAAAGTGACTTTCATGAACTTTAAATCATGTTCTAAAGATGTTACCTTCTCAAAAATGAACCTGGAGATGTGTTTTGTTTCATTCACATGACATGACATCACAAGGTGGAACAGTGTTTTCTGTGTGAGAGAAGAACTCAGCCTAAATGTGCAGGGTTTGTGTGTTAAACATGTGTGAATGAAACAAAACAAAACTCCGGATCTGTTTGTGATGATGAAACACCAACAGAACATCGACCAGAAAACAGAGACATATGAGCCCTTTAAACGTTCATTCCACCAAACTCCAGACTCACCTCTCCTTCCATCGTTTGGCCCATGTGTTCTTCTCTGGAATCCACTCTCTTTAATTCCAATAGTCCTGGTTTAGTCCTGGTTTAGTCCTGGTTTAGTCCTGTTGCACTTTTGTTTTCCTTAGTCTCCAAAGTGTCTCAGAAGCAAATTGTTCACATTGTTTTGTTTCTTGGGGAAAAAAAAATAAAATTAATTAATTCCTGTTTTGGCCAAAGTTGAATTCAACATTAGTTCTGGATTAGTCCTGGTTAAGTTCTATTTTGTTCCTGGTTTAGTTTTGGTTTAGTCCTGGTTTAGTTTTGGTTTAATCCTACTCTAGACTTGGCTCAGTCTTGGTTTAGTTCTGGTTTAGTTAGTCCTGTTTTAGACCTGGTTTAGACCTGGTTTAGACCTGGTTTAGACCTTCGCTGGACCTGCGTTGGACCTGGTTCAGTCCTGGTTTAATCCTGTTTTAAATCTTAAGGTAACATCGGCACTGTCCAAAAGGAGCTGGTGTTTATTTTTCTGAGCAAATTTAAGTCAGATTTTTGTTATAATTTATTTCATTTTCCTGCTGGTTTGAAGAGTTTTTGTCCTGGTTTAGAATTTTTATTGCTGTTTCAGATTCAGAGTTTTATGCAAAACAGGAACTTTAAATCACCTTACCAAGGTTTATAGAGAGACACATTTAAGTCACGGATGTTGGACTTTAAAAATATTCTATTTTCATGACCGTGGTTTCAGATTCTTCAAAATTCCTCTGAAATTATTTTTTAAAATAAATTACAAGAAAAATAATCCAGAAAAAAGGGTCCGGTCAGGAAAAAATTTGGAAATTTGTATTCCACGTGGTTCAAGAAGAGACTGTTAAATCCACAGAGAAAAGGATCCGGGTCCTGGTTTAGTCCTGGTTTAGTCCTGGTTTAGTTCCTGCTTTGGTCCCTGGTTTAGTCTTGGTTTAGTCCTGGTTTAGTCCTGGTTCTGGA